AGTCTTTTCTCTGTAAAAATTGAATCAACAATTAATAAAGATCACAATTTGAGAAGTGCCTCGCAAAAAAAAAAAAATAAAAGTCTCGCATTTAATGCCTGTTTGCGATTAAAAAAAAAAAATAATAATAATTTGATTTGTTATTATAATTATTATATTAATAATTAGTAAAAAAATTAGTTTATTAATTAATAATATAATTTTGTTTTGTTTATATTAATAATTATATAATGTATTGATTATACAGATTTGATTTAATATTTAATAATATTTGATTAGTTAAATTTAAGATATTAATTAATTAATAAAAGTAAATTAATTATAATTTTTATTAAAAATTTTTATAAAATTTTTTTTTTGATTTTTTATAATATAATAGAATATATTAAATAGTATTAAAAAATAGATTATATATATATTGTTGATTTTTTAACCCAATAATATAAATAATTTTAATATAAAATTTAGTTTTTTAAAAGGTAAATAAAATTATTTAATAAGAAAATTATATTAATAAAAGTAAAAATAGAAAAATTCTAAGGAAGATATATATAAAAGCAATTATTATAGGTTTTTTTTATATATAATTCAAAGAAAAAAAAAGACTTTAACTTGTTTTTTCTTGATTAAAGATCTTATTTTAATATATTAATATGTTTATTTGAAACTTTTATAGTATAAAAAAGATAATATATTGTCTTTACCCAAATAGAATTTAATTGAGACTTGAGAAATTTTTGAAATTTTCTAATATGTATAAAAGAGAAAATGTATTAAAAACAAAAAAATAATAATAATTGTTCTTTTAAAATATAAACTCAAATTATTATTTAATATTTTTGATTATTATATATCATATTTTCATGTCTCTATTTGATATTACATGATTAATAATCATAATATAGCAACAGATTTGTCATTATAATCTTTATAATAATAAAAATAAATAAAGTATAAAGGATTTTTAAATATTAAAAAAGTTTTTTACATTAAATAATTTTATTTTTAAAGAAATTAACAAATAAAAAAAGAAACAATAAAATTAATATTAAATAAATAATATAACATAATTAATTAATTGTATTTTTTTATTAAACAAATAATTGATTTTTTTTTTAAAAAACTAAATAAAAAATTTTAAAAATGTTATAAAAATATAAATCAAGTTAAAAAAATTTTTATATAAATTAAATAAATTTTACAGTTTTTAAATTATTGTTTTAATTATAATAAATTTTATTAAAAAAATTTTTTTTTAAATTTAAAATTTTAATAGTGTTTTTAATTAATTAGTTAATTTAAATATAATTAACTTTAAAATCCAAACTTTTGATTTATTAATTTTTAAACTTTTCAATTATGATTTAAAACATTATTTAATATTATAAATAGTACTAATGTTAAAAATATTTTTTATATTTTTATCTTATTTGACAACAAATAATTAATAAAAAAAGAAATAATAATACTGTGCTTTTATTAAAATTTTGTTTTAATTTTATATATACAGTAGTTGCATAAAAAAATTTTTTTTGTTTAAAATATACGTAAGAATATTTAAAGAAAAGTAAAATTTTGATTTATAAATCACACTAATTTGCAAACCTACTAACCAAAATTGAAAATATTACGTAGTGATAATCGAATGATAAAAATGATATAAAAATCGTGTAACATAAATAATTATTAAAACGAATAGACTCATTATGTCACATGTCAATATCGAGGCTTATGTAATGCAAAAAATACGTGTATTAAATGTGTAACGTCTACACACTTTTACTAAATTTATGGTTTTAACCACTCATCTTATTTAATATCATTTACATCCATCACTAATAATCATGACCTTACCATGCCTTCCAGCAGATATCGTTTCTGAAACACTCGAGCACTTACACTCGGATCTAAAATCCATGCGCTCATGTATTTTAGTTGATCGGATGTGGTGTAAAGTAGCAATTCAGATTCTTTGGCGATCTCCGTCGCACTATAAATCCCTTGCAAACTCATCGAAATTCTGGTCTCGCATGGCTTATACGGTTATCTCATGCTTGATTCAGTCGTCGACTGGGAATTTAATTGAAATATTGGATATGGAAAAGGATTATTCTCAATTCTCAAACCTTCGAAGCCAGACACCACCATTATTTGATTATCTTTTGTTTTGGAGATTTCTTTCACTCTCAGATATTAGTAATATCAAAAAATACATATGTCTTGAAGACAAATCCACATATGTTGACTATCTCTTAGAAAGTGAACTTTATTGTAGTTTTTTGTCATGTGGTTCCCGAATAAAGTACCTTGAACTTCCGTTCAATGTATATTTGACACAACATCCAGGAGTAGAAATCACATTATCAAATCTTCAATGTCTACGCTGTGATGCCAACATCTCGTCTGACTATTATGCTGAACTGTCGACTTGCTGCCGCACGCTTCAGAAACTATACATTGAAATTTGGGGTGAGGATAATGAAGGTCTGGCAAATTTGATTAAATCTCAGAAGGCGCTCAAGCACTTTGAGATTCACTCTCAGATAGTTCAGATATACCCAATGATTTCCGATGCATTGTGCACTCAGGTAAATTCACTGCGGTATTTACGGATAATCGGGAATCCATGTTTCGAGACAGGTGTGATCGGGATGTTCAAGCATTTGACGACATTAATATTAGAAAATTTTAATCACAATGTTGAAATCTTGGAGCAAATGAATTTTCCAGAGTTGAAGGTTTTAGAAGTAGTTAATGACACAGTTACTCCTTTTGAAATTTACAAAGGAATCATCGAGAGTGCAGCTGCAAACGACTCAAAAAAGGGTGGCGGTGGTGGATTAAAAAGGATATACTGGCCATTAATGCATACGACAGTCGATTTGAATCCGAGGGTTTATTCCGAATATGTGGTTAATTATTGTTCTAATATTTTATTTGTCTCAATTTACGTAAAAGAGAGTTCTCTAGCTGAGCTTGAAGTTTTACTGGTCCATTTGAATAATCTAGAAGGAATAGAAATTCAAGTAGATAGCAAAACAAGTCCATCACACCTGTTCAACTTATTGTCTACTAAGTCGCCCAGATCCCTTACAATGTTGTCACTCATGAATTTTGATAGCGAATGGATGATGACACCCGAAGAATTGGACGTGTTTTTTCATGATTGGGGCAATAGGAGGAATGGAGAAGGCTTACGAATATACTTTCAACGAGATCTAATTTACAGTTCTCATTACAAAGTGATTAAGAAGTATGGGAGAAAGGGAGTAATACAAGAGTTTATGGAATACTTCCAAAGCATCTATGAGATAGAGGAGGTGAGAAAGAGATTCGAGCGTGATATATTTACTGATTTTAGACATAGAATTTAGTAACTTTTACATCGTGATTGCATTTGAGCTACAAAAGAGAATGATGGCGTAAAAATGTAGATACAATCGTAATAATAATTGCACAAAACTTAATTCTAATCAATACATAAAACGGAATGGTTGGTTTCTATAAGCGTAGGTTTTTACCTGTATATCAGCGTTGTGGATTAAATTAAAGGCTTGACCTAAACTACAACCGAAATAGACAAATAGGTTTAGACCAAGAGAAACTGTAACGAGTAACTTTCTAGGCCGTAGATTTCGGAAACTATTTTTATAATGTAATAATAGAAATAGAAGTTTCATCATGGCAAATAAAATTCTCAGATGGCATTTAAGTTTCAATAGGGGATAAACGAGAGAGAATGAATGGTAATATTGGAGTAAAAGAAGAAAAGCCAGAAGTTTGCAATAAAGTTAGAGTTAGTAAAAACCTAACATGTAAATAAAACAAATTCCCTTTAACCGTACCTGTTTCACACGAACAACGGGTCCGTAGTAGTGACAGACTCGTAGGAGACAATGACAATATAGATTGTATTTTATAAGTTCAAGCTTGTATGTTGTAGCAGACTGAACGTCGAGTCGTTAAACTTGATCGATACCTTAATGCTTAGCATTTTTTGTTTTTTTAAATAATAACGACGACTGCCGCCACACTATTTTTTGTCTACGGTGTTGTGAGGAATTATCCAACCTATCATTTTTTTTAAATACGAGTCGTTCTTTTACGCGTGTACTTTTATGCCTAAAATAAATACACTAACTAGTGTATATGCATTGAGTTTTTTGCTCTTTGTTGCATTCCTACCCTAACATTATACTCATGTCTGCATTACATACTGGTTAGTTCTCGCAAAAAAATAATTAATATTAACATGAAAGAATGATTAAACTAAAAAAAAAAATTTTTTCTTATATTTATTAACAAAATAAAGAATTTTTTGCAAGAACAATTATTTCGGATTAATTATAAATGCAAATACAAATACAAGTACTGTAATGGGTAACAAACGATAAATCTAATTTTTGTAATGATAATAATTTAAATGTTATAAAAAAAAAAAACAAAAGTTATCTTATCAACAAGGTATATAGATTTTTCGTTAAATTAAATCTAATATACGATTTATTGCAATATACGTTATTTTAAAATACTGTGTTTAAATGTTATTGAGTTTGCAATAATATACGACTATTTAATATTGCAAAAAAAACTTTATATATATGTTTTAATCGACAAACCACCACCAATTTATCTGTAGATTATTTTCTTTTGTTTTTGATAGTATTTTATTATTTTATTTTATCTTATTAAATATTTTGATTACTCCAAAAAATACGAATTTAACCAGTGAATTTAATTAACAATTGAAATTAAATTTACAAAGTCACAAATGTTTTCTTCATTTTTTATCTTAAATAAAAGGGAGCGTGACATCGCTTACGCCTCGCCTTGCGGATGATGATATGACATGACACTATCGGAAATTTGCCCAGGTGGCTATGTGCGTCGTACCATCACCCAAGTCCGAACACGAGGCACGGTCTACCGTAAGCATCGCCATATTCGCAACCATATGTCAAGTGATCGTATGTGAGAAGAGAGAAACATATAATAAAAAGTGGTCGGAATTATCTAGTGTATGTTCTTTTTGTCAATATCGAGCATCCGGTGCCCAACTGTCTTTAATGATCCATTGGTACTCCCGAATACAATAATAATATTTAGCACATTCTTCCAGCCTTCGATACATAGCCGATTCGAGAAGTCGATTTGTGGCTTATGACTCGTGGGAAATACAGTACTGTAGTAAAGCAAACAAAAACAAGTCATAGGATTATGTCACGGGAATGTTCTGAATGAATCACACACGCAGCTACCTAAGAGAAAAAAAAATGATTCCGTAATTTTGCAATCGATTTATTAAATGCATTGATAAATTCACTCGAAACTTGTAGCTTAATCTCTTTTAGAAATAATCATATACTGTATGACCGTGTTTCATGCATTATTTGACTACTGGATACCGATTGATTTTCTTCCGAGCTTTGCTTAGCAATAGACGCGCAATTTAATAACCGATTCGAGCATTCGGGATAAATTTTGAATAAATATTTGTGGCAAATTTTCTTTATTATTTTATCAGTTATAATATTTTGTGGCGCATTATTTTCACAGAATTATGCAACAGAAGGTCACATTGCAGAAAATTTGATATTGTTCCAACATAGAGGATTTGACTTCTCAGGTGGATATGTACAAAGCAGAGCACGAAATGAGCCATAAGGTAAATATATACAAGCATTTCGTAATAAAACATACCTTAACGTTTATTGTTTAATCAAAACAAAGTGATGTGTCTGTATATTTACGTGAATCTAACGCCACGAACAAAATCACCAAAGGCATTTACTTCATTTTGTTTGTGGATAATCGTTTTCGTGTGTCGTTCATTTTTTTATTTCTTCTGTTCCCCCAAGTCTTTTTTTGTTTCCTTAAGTAAAATTATAAGAAAGTATTGCAATAGTCTGATAATAAATGACGCGTTAATTGCGAGATTAAAAGCTTTAAACGTTAAAGAAGAAATTCATCATTAAATAAACATTTCGGATTCGACGATTTCACGTAGAAGAAAAGAAGGGAAGGGAATAATAATTCTCAAAGATGAAGAAACCATTGGGTAGAAAGCGAATGATATGTTTTTACTTGTTAATCATACCGAATATGATTCTGACGTTTCTTTGTCCCGCGCTTGGTATGTATTTGTTTGTGTTATTACACACTTTCACTATGCTACTGGTGGTCGGGTTTTTGGTTCATAGTATTTATTTTCTTTTTCGCTCCAAATTTGCAGAGCTAATGAAAATCGAATTATTTGATCAAACAAATGGAGAACTCACGTATACCCCGTGGGTTGAATACTTGTAAGTACACGGGGAAATGAGATCCCATTTTTTATTGCATTATTATTTTTTCATCTTATTTTATTTATTATTCTTCGCCTTCTTAAATTATTCTACCATTTTTTTAGTATCCAATAATCATCCGTTTTTTAATATATCTTATAGATATGCAGTTCTGACGTGGGTTATTGCAGGTAGACCTTTTCTTTCAAACACACCCACAGCAATTTATCTCTAAACGCGTATGTTATTTTCCAGTTATGTTCATATTCGCATGTTGTTGCTGCTGTATCTGTGAGTGTGAAATAAAATTGCTGCTAAAGTAGGTCGGGGGTTTTTTTTTATGATTGTTATCTGGGAATGGAGTAAGCACTGAAATTTCCGTTGCTTATTTCAGAATAGAGATTATCGTTGGTGTAATTTTTCCAGGTAAGTTAGTTTTTTCCTTTCAGTCGCACTAGTAGATTCTTATCGACGTGTTAATGAATGAATCACACATCTGCAAACCATTCCAGTAATCTATACTTATTTCACAATCAGTGAAATGGGCGACATCCCTGACTATTGTCCATCAGACTATCCCTACCAAGTGCCCATTACTCTAAAGGCTTGTCAAATTCGTCTCGCGAACTTAATATGCATGTGGCTTTATTACGCTTCGTTAATTCTTTTAATACCCACGTGTTGGTCACTACAAACCTTGGCCGATAAAAAGAATTTACATGTAGATACTGGTGGGTATAGCATTCATGAGAGCTACAATACTGGTTGGCCGGGAATTAGAAAAGCGGAAAACGAAATAATAAAGACTATTAGCGAGTCACCAAATTCTAGTGAAATTATATGGAGTGCGAGTCCCTTGGATAATAATATCGTAGATATTGGTGGTTTTCCGAGTGGAGTAGAAACCAGCGGAAACGCAGAAGAGAGCGCATAAACCTGTGAAACACTGGGAATTATTATGTACAGTATGTGAACGACACAAGCGCATCTACGTTGCAGGTGGAAATTTAATATAGTAAGCAGTAATGCAAGCGAAAAGAGGTTTTTTTTTTTTCGGTTTATACAAGAAATTTAACCAAAAAAAAAAAAAAAATGTTTATTATCACCGAAATTAGTAAAAAATGTGTTACCATACCATACCATGTCCTCGGAGAAAAGATCTCATTATTTGTATTATAAGGCAGATTAAAATAAACCCAGGTGGCTTGTGCACCTTCCGTGACTATTTTTTATATTTTATTACAGTAGAGTGAACGAAATATACTGTATACTGTAATAGATGTGCGATGCTTGATCGTCAGATAGGCTCGAGGTTTTTGAATATTGTCCATGTGTGCAGATAAGGAGTTAAGAATCTTGTGGCTTACCTGTGTGTGCTTGTTTTTTTTTTGTTTATATTAGTATATTTCCGTCCGGCTCGACATCGGATTTACAAACAGTCTGTGTTTACATAAAACGACAAATAAAAAAGCTGATTCAAAAAAAAACCCAAACCACAGATGACCGTGTCGTGATCAACAAATAAGTATTAATCACGACCGAGAAATTCCGTTGTTTGTAAAGATTATCCTTTTTTTTCTATTTCTAATTTTGAACGCCGAGAGCACGTTGAATTTCTTTATGTCAATAATGATCAGTTTCAAATTTTCTTCTACTCTTGACAATTAAATGAGGTACAAGGAAGTAATTTAAGAAACGGAATAATGAACGTCCAAACAAGACAATGTCTCTTTTTATCATTATTGATACCATTTTTAGTTTTAACATTTGCGTGTCCAATACTTGGTAGGTTCCAACAAACTCATGTCAGGTTTTTGGTTGTCACACTTTGAAAATGCCTTATTAACAAGGTTATTTTATGGTAGAATTAATGAAGATCGATGACTTTAATCAGACCGATGGATTACTACAATATGATCAATGGGTCGAATATTTGTAAGCAACCTTCTGTTCGTTCCCATCTTTACACGCTCAACATAATTTTGATGTTGAAGAAATCCTTTTTAATTAATTAGCTATTTTACATCCATCTGGGTGACAACCAGTACGTACGATCTCAACGATGAATGAGTGATCATCTTAAACGATCCTCATCAAACCGAATCGCGTTCGAGTTCATTTCTTCTTAGCATACTTCATTCATTTGAACCAAATCAAAGGTATCAAACTGACCTTTTCATTTCATTTTTTAATTCACGTGTAGTAACGAATGTGTGTTTTTGTTGTTTTTGCTGTTATTTTCCGGACCTCACTAAATATAGGTAAGCCTGACCTTTCATTTCATACAATACTTTAAACAAAGTTTTAATTATCTTTATTTTTTCTAATTCTAATTAGATTTGTTGGCGTGATTTGGCTAACCATCCCAAGTACGTGTTATCATATTATATTATAATTTTACTTTATCTTATTTCTATAATCATCGATCACGATTAAATACTTATTACATTCTCCGTATTACATTCATCAGTCGTATATACTTACTTTACATCTAATGAAATGGGAGACATCCCATTCGTGTGCCCTTCCTCCTATACTTACCCCTCAGAGGCGGTCGAAGATGCCTGCAAAATTCGCAAGGGAAACTTGATCTGTATGTGGATTTATTATGTTATCCTCGTGATGATGACGATGACCGGATTTCCGAGAATATTTTATTATATTGATGACGATTATATGGATGACGATTATAATGAAGGTTTCAGGGAAGGAGAAATCATGCGCAGAATAGATCTAGGCGATAGCGAGGAAAAATCGTTTGGTTTGGAAATATAGGAGATGAAGTCAATTTTTATATATTTATTCGTTAGGAAACTTTAATTGACTATAATTTAGAGAATGCTTGTTTATATTTCTTCGGTTTTATATGTCTAATGAATGTCATAAAAAAAGATAAAATCCAATAGACAATGTGAAATTAATTTATGATTATATCTCTGGCATGCTGTATACTGTATATAATAAATAAATAAATAGGTTTGTGTTGAGGGTTACCAGCAAGCCATCCTTAGATGTTTTATAACAATCTTTTGGTGGCTCCCTGTCAATTTGATATTACTTCTTTTAATTATTTCTCAGTTACTGTTTTTTAACTTGATCTTTAAGAACTATTAATTTTTTTTTTTAAAAAAAAAAAGAAATAATCGCATTACAATTGTATAAGTCAACATATGTTTATTTTATTCATATACAGTATATACATTTTATTTAATTTTTTTTTTTTAAAAAAAAAAAAATCGTAACAAAAAGAGGCACCATTTGTTTTTGTTTAAAAATGGATTTTATAAATTATAAAATATATATACTGTATATATTGTATAATTTAAATTCATTATCATGTATTCAATTAATATTACGGTGATATGTTAGTTAATTCAATGCGTGCTGACCTTTCTTTTAAAAAACCTTGAATATTTTTTTTATTATTATATCGTACAACTGTGTTTATTGTAAAATATTAAATGTTAAATTAGTATTAATTGTTAATAATTTTTTTAAGTTTAAAAATACTGTATTTGATACGATCGTCATGAGCACAACAGGAAAGTCATATGATATAACACGTAAAAGATCTCGGTGTAAAAAAAAAAAAATGTCTTTCCGCTTCGATTTTTCGGTAACTATCTCTTTTCAAATCATAATGTCATACATGCTTTATATAATTCATGTACGATTTGTAACACGATGCTTTCTTTTCCGTAAATTGATTAGCTTGCTGACCTGGAGAAAGAAACAGCTTCATTAAACGAAAATGCTGGAAACAACACTCAAACGACAATTCCGCAAAATAGCGCATCGAAAATAATTCCTTCAGGGGAATTATTTATCACAGACCTAGTAATGTACTTGTTAAGCACTCGCTGCGTATAGTTCATTCACTGGCTTTAACAATGTTCGATGGCTTATCAGGACATACTTCCACAAAATTTAATGGTTGAACGAGTCAATTTCTCAATAAAAAACGTGGAGCTTTACAAACGGCACCTCTCTGACGTCAAATTTCAAATAGCGCAAGATGATGAATTAGAAGAGCGCGAGACTGATCAACCTTCATGTAGTTCGGCAAAAATTCTGGAATTGGCTGCTGAAAATGATGTGGTTCAAGGCGTCTATGAAGGTAATTAAGTATGGCTGTGAATTTATTATTTAGTAAAATTAATTTCAATGGTGATATTTGATATATATAAAAGGCGGGTTGAAAACGTGGGAATGCTCCATAGACCTGGTTGAATATCTTTCAACCATTGTAAAAGATATCAATCTCACCGATAAAAAAGTTTTGGAGGTAAATTTTTGACTTTATTATATTACCTGATACATTTTAAAATATTTAATGATTTACTAACGCAAATGACATAAAGCTTGGTTGTGGTTCGTCATTACCAAGCATCTATTTACTTTCCACTGAAGAATCTCTCCACGTTGATTTTCAGGATTACAATGAGCAGATATTAAAATTGGTCACAATACCAAACATACTCATAAATACCATTCTTCGCCCACAGAATGTTGATGTTTTTTATGATGACATAACAGAATTAGATGTTTCAGATGAGAATAAATGTTTGGATCAATTGAAACGTAGTCGATTTTTTAAAGGAGACTGGGGTGATTTATTGGTACGATATTGAATTTTCCAGAATTTATCTATATATTACTTGTAAATAATGTTTTCTTAAAAAAATCACATAGGATGTGATGAAGTATCATGATAATCAAGAGAAATACGATATTATTCTCTCCTCGGAAACTATCTATAATGCAGATTCCATTCCAAGATTATATAACGTTGTTAAAAACGTTTTAAAGCGGCCTAATGGTGTGGCGTATCCTTTACTTTAATTTTCGAGATTCATAACACCTGTCATTTATTTATATTATATACCTTTACCCAAATTCCTTTAATTAGATATATTGCAGCTAAAAATATTTATTTCGGCGTAGGAGGTGGAGTCTTGCCATTTCGTCATATTGTTGAACGGGATAATTTGTTTAAGATTAGTGTTGTATATACGGCGTCTGCGCATGTCAAAAGGGAAATATTGAAATTGACATTTTTGGATTCTCTTTAATTTTATGATCATATATTCGATAGAATGTAGATTATAATTATGATATTATAATAGTGAATATGTCTATGATATACAAATTGATTATTAAATTTTGAAAATAATTTTTTTGAATGTGGAGTTTTAAATAAAACGTGCATTGCATTATATCACATAATAAAAAAAAGAATTATCATTAAATATAACTTTACAAGTATTATTAAAAACCAATCTTAACTATCTATTAATTGTACAAATTTATTTTTTAAAAAATAATATTAAACCAATTTAAAAATTTTATTTTTAAATATATACAAATCTATAGACAAAATATTTGATAAAATAATTATTTAAATGTAATAAAAATACTACTTTTTTTATTTTGTTAATTCAAAAAAAAAAAACAAAAAAAGATTTTTTCAAAAAATAATTACAACAAAAGTATCATTTTTTCACTGCAATTGATCGCATAAATTATATAAAAGAATTTATAATATTTATTAATTCTATATTAATTCAATTATAAAAATATCATGCAACTTTTATTTTGATTTAAATATTATTTTAATGCGATGAAAAATAACAGCGTCATTGTCTTTTTTCTTTTTACCAAGTAATAATCGAATTTTTTCTACTTGAAAATTTAAATACATATTTGAAATGGATTTTAAATCAGAATAAATTAATAGAATACTTTTTTTGAACCAATACAATTTGGTAGATAATCAAATACACATTTTTTAACAAATTATTGTGTATACTGTAGTATCCATGGCTTCGATAGATTATATACTGTAAATGGTTACTGCGATCTGTTCATCAAATTAAACCTTTTAAACCTTATACGTAACACTGTACAACAAATGTAAACATAAAAATTTCATACGGTAATCAATTAAACAAAAATTAAGCATATTTTTTTTTTAGCAAACAAGCATTAAATGCAAGATTTATTTAAACAATAGTTTAATATTAATACATTAATAATCTTTACGAAAGTAAATTCAAGATTAAGCATTTTGAGTACCCTGTGCAACAATACATATCTTGTCTAGGTCTTTTAAAATGCAAACTCATTTTCAAATGTCTTCGTCAGAAAATTTGCAATTAAAAAATGGATAGGCCGAAGAACTCGAAAAGTCAGTAAACGGATTAAGATTGCGGATATTTGAATATAGCGACTTCGAGGATATTGAACTCATAGGGTGTGGTAGCTTCGGAAAAGTATATAAAGCTTTTTCAAAGAGTATTAAAAGAATAGTGGCGATAAAAAAGGTTAAAATTTTGGACACAATTACGGCAAATATATTTCTTAACGAGGTATCTATTAAATTAAGTATTGGGTAATAAAGAATAATCGTGTAGTAATAAGTAAATATACGTTATTTATGCAGATAAAATTACATCGAGATATTGACTTTGATGATAATATAATACGACTTTACGGAATTTCTAAGAAGGGTAATGCGCATATTATGATTTAGAGTGCGTTATATGACTTAAGTTAATTGATCTCTTATTATGCAGATCAGAAAAAAAAAGAATATCTTATGATAATTGAATATGCAGATGGGACTTTGCGACAATACCTTGGAGAGAATTTTAAATCATTAAATTGGAGTGACAAATTACGCATGGCCAAACAAATAACAGGTGCAATTATGTATTTGCACGAAAGAGAAATTATTCATAGGGATTTGGTAATTAATCAATATTAGATCATTTCCATATCATATAACGTACTTTTTAAATTAATCTTTACTCTTTTTAGCATCCAGGAAATATTCTTGTCCGAAATGGAAACATAAAACTTGCAGATTTTGGACTGTCTACGAAATTAAGAGAAGCATCGGGAGGCCAAACTGCTAATGCACCGCTTGGTGTTATACCATATATTGATCCACAATGTTTTAAAAGGACAAAAAACGGTTCCTATCCTAAAAAATCCAAGAAGTCGGATATTTACAGTCTAGGAGTTTTACTTTGGGAGCTCACTAGCGGACATCCTCCTTTTAATTCGAATGGGTACGACATAGCGTTAATGTTTCAGATTATGGAGGGTCTTAGAGAAACGAGCATAGAAGGAATACCTCAAGGATATATCGACATTTATAAAGGTAATTTATAAAAATCATCTACATACATTTCGTACTTCATCTCATTTAAACAAATAATCAAAAAGATATTGAATTTTATTAGCATGTTGGAACGAAGATCCAGATAAGAGGCCTGAAATTATCTGGGTTAAAGAATTGATGAACTCATTATATATAACGGTCGAATCAAACACATTATATATAACGGTCGAATCAAACACATTATATATAACGGTCGAATCAAACACATTAAAAGCTCTAGAGGCGCTTCAAATCCAAGAAAATAAAAAAGATGTTAAAAGTATTGACAACAATAGCCTCGTGATAAAGAGTGAGATTATTAACGAATATGAAATCAACACGTTAAATGATCTATATCAACTTATTGTCGATAAAAAAAATAAAGGATTTTTTGATTCGAAATTAACGATTTGTATTGATATGTTTATTAAGAGCAATCAGACGACTTCGGAACAAATATTTAATTTATTAACTAAACGTCAGGAAACCTTCCAAAATGCAATGACTCTCGGATTTTTTTATCAACATGAAATCGGAATCATTCGAGACTATGAGAAATCATTTCAATTGTTCCTGAAATCTGCTGAAGGTGGAGATCATACGGGACAATGCCGTCTTGGATATTGTTACGATAATGGAATTGGAACCAATCAAGACTATGTGAAAGCTTATCAATGGTACCTGAAATCTGCCGAAGGTGGAAATTCCAACGGACAAAATAATCTTGGGTCTTGTTATTATGAGGGAATCGGAACTACACAAGACTACGGGAAATCTTTTCAATGGTACCTGAAATCCGCTGAAGGCGGGAATATCGAAGGGCAATGTAATATTGGATATCACTATGATAGTGGAATTGGAACCAATAAAGACTACGATAAAGCATTTTATTGGTATGCAAAATCTGCCGAAGGTGGAAATACCAATGGACAATGTAATATTGGATGTTGTTATCAAAACGGAATTGGAACCACTCAAGACTACAGGAAAGCTTTTCAATGGTATCTAAAATCTGCTGAAGGTGGAAATGCCCGTGGACAATATAATCTTGGAAATTGTTATAGTAATGGAATGGGGACCACTCAAGACAATGAAAAAGCATTTCAATGGTATCAGAAATCTGCTAAAGGTGGAAATACCGATGGACAATATAATCTTGGATCTTGTTACCAGAACGAAATTGGAACCACTAAAGATAATGGAAAAGCATTTCAATGGTATCTGAAATCCGCTGAAGGTAGAAACACCAATGGACAATGTAAAGTTGGATATTATTATCAGAACGGAATCGGAACCACTCAAAACAATGAAAAAGCATTTCAATGGTACCTGAAATCTGCTGAAGGTGGAAATGCCGATGGACAATATTATCTTGGGTATTGTTATCGTAACGGAATTGGAACCATTAAAGACAATGAAAAGGCATTTCAATGGTACCTAAAATCTGCTGAAGGTGGGGTTACCATTGGACAATATAACGTTGGAATCTTTTATCTCGTTGGAATTGGAACCATAAAAAATGGAGTGAAGGCAAAATATTGGCTCGATAAATCCAAAATGTAGTTTTTTATTCAACACTGATTTTATCTATTTAATATAATAATAATGTTGAATATGATATAAATAACATTTGTTTGTTTGTTTGTTACAATTATGTATTTTTTTCTCTTTCTCTTACGTTTTTTTTTGTAAAAAGAATTCTAAATATGAAAATTATTTATATTAATAAAGGTGTGAAAAGAACGAACATTTTTAATTACTTAAGGGTGAAAAACAAACAAAAATTTTTGTAATTTTCCAATAAAGTATCAAAACATAGTTAACTACTTTGTATAAAATTTTCTGCCTGAACATAAAAGATATTTAGCAGCTACGCAGATTTTTCCCAGAATTTTATTTCAAAAAAAATTGTACAACCCCTTTTTTATAAACTTACAAAAGAAAAAGAGGAAAGGAAAGGAGAAAATAAAATCACAAATATGCATATATAAAAAAGAAAGAAAGAAAAAGACTTATCTATTTTAGATATTATTGAAAAGATGAAATTCTAGTTGAATAACCAATCTCAAGATCCAAACAATCAGAATAAATATATCATTAGCCCCTATAGTAAGATAAATTATTTAATTTCTATTTTCTTATTACTCAAGAACATTCGAAGAATTATAAATGGGCCTATTGTTTAAGAAACTTATGTTTTAGCTGCCTTAAAGAAAATATGTCATGAAATAAGTCAGGTCATTAGATAATGAGCTGAGTATTGTTTAAAAAGATAAATTATTATTGTTTTTTCTCAGTAAAATTCTATTTCTTTTATATACTATAAATACAAAAAAACAACAAAAATAAAAATTCTACAAATTTCTCAAGTCCCAATTATATTCTAATTGGATGATAACATTATATGCTTTATAATATAATTCTTTTTTTCCCTTCTATACTAAAATAAAAAATAGTTTTTTTATTAAATTGAAACAAGATTTTTTCTTAAGTATTAAAAAAAAAACTATTAGAAAAAATAAAAGAAAAAACATTCAAATCAAAACAAACAATAGGATATACTGATTTTCTTTTAATTTTTAATTTTTATAAAATATAAAAAATAAAAAATCATAATACTTATTTGCCAGTATATTACTTTTTAAATATGTTTTATAATTAATTAAAAGATTCTATAAACTTAAAAAATACATTACAATATATGTTTTATATAGAATTAAATAAGTTATTTTTAACAAATTTATATAATTTAATTTTTTAAAATCAAATTCAAACAAAAAAATCCTTGAACTTAAAAAAATTTTAAATGCAATAAAATAAAACTTAGTATCTAATAAAATTCAAACTAAAATCAAAAAATTACTATATATTTGTTTTTAGATAAATTTTATTTTTGGATTTATTTTA